GGAGAGATTCTTCCCGAGCAAGTCCCGTGCAGCGCTGCCGCCGGATGAAGCGCGTTGATGGCCGCGATCTCACTCTCACTCTGGTCGATGTGTGCACGGGCGGCTCTTCCGGGAGAAATGCCCATATAAGGAGTTCCACCCTCGTCTACGTCATGAAGAGCCACGATCGAAAAAAACTCTCCAAAACTTGTACGAACCCGGAAGTATGATTTTTGGCACAGAAATACGACAAAAACGCAACTGTAATGTTCCCAGGTCCAGAAACGTAGCAAGGACATCGGTAAAACAGTCCATGTGTCATCAGTGGCTCAACTTCAGTTTTACGAAGCTACGGGAATACTTTTTGAGTGCAAAAAAAACAAAAATAAAAATTTTTTCAACAATTCTTCTCCCCGAGTTACGTCTTCCGCCATTTTAGAGAGTATCACAACGCGTACGCACGCTTTCCCCTAAGCATAAACAACGCTGATTACATCGATTACGCTCTTGGGTACTCTCCAAAATGGCGGAAGACGTAACTCGGAGGAGAACATTTTAATTTTGTTTTCTTTGCGCTCAAAAAGTATTCTCGTAGCTTCGCAAAACTGAAGTTGAGCCACATATGTCACATGGACTGTTTTACCAATGTCCTTACTACATTTCTGGACTTGGGAACATTCTCGGGGGAGAAGAATTGTTAAATAAATTATGTTATTTTTGTTTTCTTTGCGCTCAAAAAGTATTCCCGTAGCTTCGCAAAACTGAAGTTGAGCCACTGATGTCTGACCTGGGAACATTACAGTTGCGTTATATATGTATATATATATATATATATATATATATATATATATATATATATTTGTAATAAGGCTGTAATAATGAACTTAGTGTCACTCAGATAAGCCGGATGTACCTGAGTGATTCCTCCATCTTGCTCATCTTCCTCTTGCTGTTGGCTCGCTCCTTTTCCAGCTCGGCCTGAAGCATCTGCAGCTCTGACAGGACAGCAGAAGTGTCAATCACTCAACACGCTTTATCAGCTCCCGCCCTTCAGCATAACTAAACAGAGCTGATGTAATGTTCTAAAGGTCAGAGGTCAGCCGTGCAGGAAACAGCATTTAACTTCAACAGTGGCTTGCAGGGCAGGACTTCATTTTATCCTTATTGAAAAAGGAAAGTTATTTAAGCTAAAATATTTTTGTTCTAAAAGTATTTTATTTTATTTTATTA